GGCCCGTGGGCGCGGCGGGCGGCGGCCTCCTGGGCGGCCTGCCCCGTCTCAGTGGGCTCGCCTCGTCGGCCGGCGTCTACTTCGGGCCCGCGGCCGCCGTGGCGCGCGGCTACCCCAAGCCTCTGGCCGAGTTGCCCGGGCGCCCGCCAATCTTCTGGCCTGGCGTGGTGCAGGGCTCGCCCTGGAGGGACCCGCGCCTGGCCGGCCCGGGTAAGTGGCCCACCCGCGGATTCGGCGTGGGGCGGCGGGGCGGGCGGGGGCGCGGGGCCGCCGGCCGCGCTCACCCGCCCTCCTTTGCAGCCCAGGCCAGCGGGGTCCTGGACAAGGACGGCAAGAGGAAGCACTCGCGGCCGACCTTCTCGGGCCAGCAGATCTTCGCGCTGGAGAAGACTTTCGAGCAGACCAAGTACCTGGCGGGGCCGGAGCGCGCGCGCCTCGCCTACTCCCTGGGTATGACCGAGAGCCAAGTCAAGGTGAGGCGTCTGCGGCCTGGGCGGCCCCCCGCGGCTCCCGCTGCGCCGAAGCCCACCCGCTCCCCGCGTCCTGCGAACGGTCTGCGAGCGGCCGTCGGCCTTGGCCTCGGTGCCCGGGGCGCCCAGCCCTGCGGCCGGGCCCGGGCAGAGGGGTGGCCTCGGGCGTCCTTCTGCGGCCGGCGGCGTCTCCGGCCGGGCCGCCGAGGGGCCAAGCTGCCGCGGGCCGGGTGCTTCGGGAGGCGCCGCCTGACGGGCACCCTCCACCCCAGGTGTGGTTCCAGAACCGGCGGACAAAGTGGCGCAAGCGGCACGCCGCGGAGATGGCGTCGGCTAAGAAGAAGCAGGACTCGGACGCCGAGAAGCTGAAGGTGGGCGGCTCGGACGCGGAGGACGACGACGAGTACAACCGGCCCCTGGACCCCAACTCGGACGATGAGAAGATCGCGCGGCTGCTCAAGAAGCACAAACCCTCGAACTTGGCGCTGGTCAGCCCGTGCGGCGGCGGCGCGGGGGACGCCTCGTGAGGACGCGACGGCAAGGCCGGACAACCAGGGTACGGGACGCGGGCCGGCGCCCCTCGCCAGCCGCCCGCGCCCGAGTGTGTGTGTATATTTTTACAGAATCAGTTATAAAGCGGCCTGGCTCGGGCTCGGCGTGCGGGGACCCCAGAGCGCCCGCGTCCCTGTCCTCGGCGTGGGCGCGGCATCGGGACCGCCGCTGCCGCGCGTCCTGAGAGGAAGCACTTTGTATAATCAATAAATTATTTAACACGTTCCCCCGTCGGAGCCGTGGCTCCCGAGGCTGCACCGCGTGTTTCTTCCTTACCGAAAACCGCGGGCGAGGCGCGGTGGCGCGGCCCTCTGCCTCTGCCGGGCCCGCTGTCCCGGGTCCCCTTGTCCAGTCTTCAATGCCGCGGGGTCCGCGCCTTCGGCCGCAGGGGCGCCTGGGTCAGGCGCAGGTCCGGCTCAGAATCGGGGTGCGATGGAGTCCCGGCCGCCTCGCGCCCCGGGTTGCCCGGGCGGCAGCAGCTCGCAGGACCGGGGGCACCGCGAGGCCCGGCGCGGGGAAGGCGGCCCCGCCCGAGAACCCTCAGGCCGCCGGCCAAGGGAAGGGGCCGCCCGGGGCCGAGGGCCGGGACGAGCCAGGACTCAGCAAGCCGGAGCGGAGCCGACGGTGGGGGGGATGGAGCGGGGCGCTGGGCGCTCGGCGGCGGCGGCGGCGGCGGCGGCGGCTCCTCCGGCGCAGGCAGCTGTGGCTCGCGCGGTGCAGCAGGTAGGACCCCTTGTCCCCGTCCCTCCCCCGGGGCGCCCTCCCCAGGGCTCTGGAGGCCCGCTGTTTTGCTGGCTTAGGTGGAGGAGGTTTGGGCAGATTTAAACACATTTGGGGTTGCCGGAAAGGGCAGGTGAACCCCCGCTCCTGCCCCACCCGTACTGGTGCGTTTCCCCTTTGGTGGGGGCGGGGGCGGTGAGGGGCGCCGCCGGGCCGTAGCTCCTGCTGATGTGCTTTGTTCTGATGACGTGGAAACAGGCCCAGTCTTAGCAGCTACGGAATTTGAAGTGGCGCTGAACTCACATCGGGGAAGTGAGGCCGGTTGTAAATTCGTCGGCGCGCCGTAGCCCTTCCCCTGCCGCTTAATAGATTTGTTTCGTCGGGAGAAAGCGGGGCTTACTTCAAGCTGGGACTACAAAGGGAAATCCAAAATAGTTTTGCTGCTTCGCCGTCAGTTCTCTCAGGGGCCCCGGAGCTTTCTTTGCCCGTTTGACCCTGGGATGCGGTGGAAGCACATCTGGCCAGTGCTTGGACCTTGTCCTCCTCCTGGGCAGCTCCGGCCTCCACCCGGGGCACCTCCCTGGATCGGCCAGACCGACCCAGCCCCCCAGCCCCGCGGAGGTCCGCGATCCCCTCTCTCTGGCCTGTCCCTCACCCCGGAATCCAAGGGCCAGGATTCCAGTTAACAGCAGCCTGCGTCTGCTCTGGTTCACAGAAGACCGCCCCATCCGTTCAGACTCTGGACGCTCCACGTGGCTGCGTAACTGTTGTGTTAATTTTAAAAATTGAATATAAAGGGTTGTATTACTGTAAGATTTCTCTTGGAAGGCATTATTGAAAATGTTAAAGAGAAATGTAAAAGGCTGAAGTTTTGTTTTTTGGGTGTTTTTTGCTACATGGCTGCATCAATTTAAAAAACAGACGTTTTTCACTGGCTGGTTTTCTTTCTAAGGGAGCATTAACTTTTTTTTCAAAATTTATGTGAGTGAACTGTTCTTTCAGCTCAAGTTAAGAGCAAAGGAATTTCCAGTTTTAAAGTTTTGAGGAAAGCAGCACATTTATGTAATCTCATTTAAACGATGCTGGGGGGTAAATCCCAGCAGTAAAACCTCTGCAGTAAAATCCAAAAGATGCTCTCTCTGCCTTCACGCCAGAGCTCAGCTCCGTAACAGTATCTGACAGTGGAGTCCAGGATTGCGACGAACGACGAGCGTAGCCTGCACTGCAGGCTACAACGGGGCCGGAGCACGGGAGGAGGAAACGCAAAGCAGACGGGATATTTTCACCACGATCGATTTTATTGCTTGGGGACCGGAGCGGTCATTTCCAAAGGCCTCCTGAGTGACCAACAGCTGAAACCCCGCTGCACAGAATCGCCGTGGGTCGGCCAGAGCAGAGCGACCACAGCTTGACACAGACCCCGACGGTACTGTCAAGGACACAGATTCGGCACGTGGACGCCAGCTCACTTGCGACGGTTGTGACTTATCTAAAACAAGCTTCTACCCAGCGCCTTCACCCAGCCCAGGAGTCCTGTAGTGTTAAAGCAAATGAATAAAACGTTCGTTTGTGTTTCATCCATGGGCCCTGGGACCACCTCTCACTGCTCCGCCGGGTGCCAGGAGCAAGTACGTGCAGCAGGGCTACGACAGGTCGTTAGAGGTTCAGCGTCCAAGGACGCGTACAGTTTGTTTCTCTGAATGTTTTTATGTGCAGGACACGTTACAAGCAGTTTCTATCGGAAGCAGACTAGCTATTTTTATTTCTCCCATGATATTATTGTTTTATGTAGAATACTTGGCACCATAGAACAGTAACAAAAGACAGACAAAACGGTTTACAAAATTCTTAAAAGGTCCACCCGAGCTAGCTATAAACTTCACATTCAGTTCTTAATATTAGACAGAAAAAGGCCTAGGAGTCTCCAACTGCTCGTATGGACGTGCTGTGGTCGGCCTGCCCCCTGACATCTCTGCTGGGTCGCAGTACTTGCTTTATAGCTTTGTGTGTTGACGTGCACGTAACCAAACCCCTAGACGTCAATTCTACCTGCTGATGTGACACTCAAGCGTTCATACTGGAAAGTATACGTAGCGTAAGTTTTGGTAAGGTTTATAAATTATTTTTAAAAAGTATATATTTATATATATAAAAATGGAAAGCAGCTGCAGTGTGATTCAGAAACCATGTAACATGGCAGTAGAGTGACTAACAGGGAAGGGACCTCCAGAAGTGAAAGCGAGGGCCACGCCGCCGGCCGGCAGAGCCCCGGCCGCCCTGCCACGGAGGGGACTCCGAGCCCTGTGGGGTTTCTACGCCGGAGAAGCTCCTCCACGCTGACGATGATTAAGACTCGAAAACCGTGAAGTCTAAAATGCAGAATCTCTTTGCTGTCTATTAGAGTTTTGGCAACAGGACTGTGACTTATTTAAAAAATCCCAATGTTTCTACTTGATGTCACACGAGCAGACACGACAGTGAGGTATGTGAGGCTTGTCCGGAGCGCCGTCCGGGGCTGAAGCGACGTGTGGGGCCGGCCGTCTAGCGGTGGCGCTCAGGCGGGTCTGTCGATGCAGCTGTCAGAGCACATGGCTCCTCGTGCTGCAGGGAGGTCTCGCCGGGGGTCCCCTCGTGGCGCTGGCATCGCTTCCCTGCCGTGGAATCAGCCATTTGTTAAGGGGACAGACACACCACAAAAAGCTCAGAAAGGTGAACTCGAGGGAGGAGGCATATTTACCACCAGTTCACTGCACCACACAACACTTGTGCACACGTGCGTGAGGTTTACCTGCCCCGGGCGCCATGCGGAAGGCCAGGAACACGGGCTGCAGCGGGAGAAGAGAGGCTGTCAGAACCGGGCGCCCAGACCCCGCTCCCGGGCTACCCGGCCGCGGCCCGCAGGCCCAGCGCCGGGCCCCAGTTCCCGAGGAGCTGGTGGGACTGGGCGACCAGAGGCTAGAGGCAAAGGGCCTTCGCGTTCTCTAAAGACGGTGTTGTTTCCAGATAAAGACAACGTGAAAGCTGATTTCAGGCCCAAAGAACACGGGGAAGGACAGAGCCCGTCCTGGGATCCGGCCCCCTGGGCAGTGTGGGCGACCCGCCCAGAGGCCCTGAAAATGGGAAACGGTGAACGTCTCTCATGTGGCTGATGGTGACACACGACCTGTCACCACACGCCCCTCGGAGGGGCCCGGGCCAGTCACACGTACAAAGTTAGTCCTGGAACAAATACTCGGTGTTTCCCCCGAGGCACTGGGTCGGTGACACGCCCGTCTCCCCGCCCGCACTGGTGGTGGGTGGTCGCCATCAGAAGCCAGGAAAATACTTGAGTGCACGTTCAGGAAACGGCCTCCAGAAATAGCCAGCGGTGGACACAGCCTCCTTTTACAAATAGTAAAACTGTGTATTTTATTCTACTGTGACCAGTCACTTCTGCCTTCTTATCTACCTGCCTATCTAGCCCCTACCTACCTACCTGCTGGTATTTTATTAAAGTTAAATAAAAACAGACCAACTTGGCCTCCTCTGTGAAGCAGACGAAGGAGACAGAGAAGACGAGCAGTAGAGAAGCAGAGCCCACCACGGCCCCCAGCCTGGAGAGCCCACCACGGCCCACCCCTCGGGCCCAGCCCCCAGACCGCAGCAGCACGGCTCTGTCACCTTGTGGTCTCCCATGCAGACACTGGGCCCGATGTGGTCGTAGGTGACAACCTTCTCCTCGCTCTCCGACTGGGAAAAGCAAACAGAGGGAGAGGCATGGGAGGCGGAAATGGTGGGGTTTCCTGGGAGAGCAGCGAGCGGGTGGCAGCCCAGCGATGCTCCGCCCGCGGCCACCCTGCCCACGTCTCCGTGGGGCTCTGGCCGGCTCAGAGCCGCCAGTGTGCCTCTGGCCCCGAGGAGGGAGGTCCGGGCAGTCCGGGCAGCACCTCGGCACCCGGCTGTCCCAGGTGGGAGGGCTCTGGCCTTGGGAGGTGGCGACATGGGCCATGGGTGTGGAGCCCGAGCTCCCCTCTGCCTCTGGGCCGGGCCCTGGACCGTGCTCGCCGCAGTCGGGGCAGCTGTGAGCTTTCTCTCCAGCTGTGCCCCCAGCACTGAGGAAGCCCACCCGGTTCCTGTTTACCCTGTTGCCATTTGTTTTTGACCCAGAACTCCCTGTTCAAACGAGAACAGACTCCCCGAATGCCACGCTGCCGCACCCAGCGGTCTGCGCCCAGTGACGCAGGGCTGTGTGCACAGGGTGCCCTCCCTCCTCTGCCAGCCTACAGGCACCTTAACTCCAGGTGTGCGGCCAAGGGTGTGTTCCCGTAGTCAGTCAGCTCTGGCTCCAACTGGGCCAGGATTTCACATCCTCGGCTGAAGCGTCTGAGACTATAAACTGAATTATCTCTAATGCAGTAGGAAGCTTACGGCCACATTTACTTTCCAGCATGGTCGCCTGCCAGAGGCATAAAGACAGACCCCTCTGCGCATCCTCCGCCATCACAGCTCCTCCCCGGAGTGGGGAAAAGTTCATCAAGCGCAGCGTGGTAATTTACAAAGGCAGCATAAAATTGTGGATTTCCAAGTGCATAATCGTGAGACAGATAAACAAATTAAGCGGGCGCCGCACACCTCGCTGCACATTCATCACCACGCCCGCCACCTCTGTGTTCCGGGGCCGGGAAGCAGAACGAACGTGATGCCGAGGTGACCGAGCGTGGCATGATGGATGACGCCGCGGAAGCTGCTCGCGCCACGGCCAGTGGGCTGGTAACGCCTGCCGCCCGCCGGGCAGCCCCCAGGGGAGGGCCTGCCGGGGCTCCCACCCCACCCCCCAGGAAGGCGCTGGGCCCTCCCCACACTGGGCCACCCAGCCGAGCTCTGTCCCCGCTGTGTCTGTAGCATCAAATCTCGGGCCCCAAAGCTGACACGATGTGAACGCAGGTAAAACAGCCTGCAGTGCCGCCTTCTGCTGGACCCGTTTGCAGCCCTGGGCAACCCCCTTCACCATCCTACGCACTCCTGCTGTCTTGGTGGGTTTACCGCAGGATGTCTTTTTCCCTGGAAAGGATACTCGCCTCTTCTCTGCGCCCCGAGGCCCCTGAGGCACCCTCTCTGGACGCAGCCCTGTGCTCAGCTCGCCTGCCGGTGTGAGCCCCTATGTCCACTGTCCACTCTCTGCTTTCTCACATGGCATCTCAGGGCCCCAAGGGCAGGCCCAGCAGAGAGGGCAAGGCTGCGTCCAAGGCCGGGCACCAGGCATGCTTGCCCGGGTCTGTGTGGTCAGGGCCAATGTCCCGTGCAGCTCCCTTCGGGAAGGCTGCTTGTGGGAGTAGCCCAGCCAGCGCCTGTCCTCTGTGATGTGCTCTGGGGGCAGGCGTGTCACAGCCGGGCGCAGGCCCTTGCCCCCAGGCCCCGTCAGAGCAAGCTCACTGCAGACCCGACGCGTCCCCACCTCCATCCCGGGCCCAGCGGCCTCCCTCCCCACGCACCCGGGGGCTCTGGCTCAAGGCAGAGCATGGAGGGCCGGCCCGCCCCGGAAAGGCCAGCAGCGGGGCCTCCTGGAGGGGGGCTGCAGGGGCTGCTGAGCAGGGGGACGGGCGTGCACCTGGGCAGGCCAAGGGGGCTCTGCCCTCCTGGCTGCATCTCTGGGTAAAGAGCCCGGGGCCCAGTGGCGCAGACAGGGCTCCTTGCAGCAGCCTCGGGGGCTGTGGAGGGTGGTGACTAGAGCCCAAAACGTACTGGGTTGAGGTTGGGGAACGGCCTGGGCCGTGGGGACCTCCTGCCCCCTCCTAACTGGCGGCCCACATCACGCAGAGGCCAGACCGCTGCCCTGATGAATCAGTGCACCTCGTTATTATATTTTTTCACTGATGGGGTTGACAAAACCAATGCAGATATTGATTCTTTAGAGCAGTCCTCTTGTGTTAAATGTGGGCATTGAAAAACCCCGGGAAATCAAGAGGCTCCAGGAAACTCAAACTCTCCCCGCACCCAGTCTCACGGGGCTGCCTCCTGAGTGCTGGCCGTTCATCTTTAACTTCTCAAGCCCCAGTGTGACTCTGGCTCTGATTTACAACTTAGGAAAATAAGGATGGACTTCATAGCTCCCAAGCTCTTTCGAAGACAAGAGCTCATTGACGCCCCCGAGAACACAATAAACTAAAACGATTCCTAAAGCACTGGCGACAGTTTATGCCTGTTTTGAATCCACAAAGACACTGGAGATCGGGCTCCATCCCAGCCCCGAGAATGGGGTCAGGGCTCATCCGGGCCGGCAGGAGGGCACGTTCCCTGGCCCGAGGCTCCCCACCCGCCCGGGCTCTGGCCTGCGCAGCCCTCACACTTACCCTCAGGATCAGCTCCTTGGCGGATGGGGACATAAGGACACGGTCACACCAGGCGGGACACCGGGTGTTCATGTACTGCCTGCCCTGGCTGGAGTCCTCACTGTATGGGTAGCTGGGGAGACAGGACAGGAAGGCACCGGTCAGCAGCCACGGGGCCCCTCCTCCAGCCCCTCCTCCGCGCCCGGGGGAGGGTGGTGTGGGCTCTGCCCCACGCACCTCAGAAAGGCCGAGCCTGTCCAGGGTGAGAACAGGCAGATGGAAGTTTCCAGAATAAAGTCAAAGGACTGTCCCCCCCAGCACTTCAGATAAACCCTCCCCAAGGACATGGACACGTCTATTAAACTTGGTTTTATTTTTGGATGCGGCCTACAGCCCAACAAAAACCTGCCCAGGAGCCTACGGACACCTGGGCCCAGACTGACGCCACACCCTTGTCCCACTGAGGCGTCCACCTCAGGAAACGCCCAGGTGCCCGGGCCGTGGCCTTGGACCTTTGCTGTGGCCGAGTGTGTGCCTGGCCCTGACTTACTGCCGTGGCCACACGGGCCCTGCTTCCCGCCCACTGGCCCGGTGCGGCAGCGGGGAGACGCCTGGGGCCCCTTGGGAATGGAGCCACCACAGCCGACCGACTGACATGGCGAGAAGCAGGTGGGGCCTGTGACCACCAGCTGAGCCCCCGACACCCTGACACTAGCCGCCTGGCTGAGGCCCAGAACTCACTGGAACCTCCGGCTCCGGGCTCTGCACTGCCCAGCGGGCCCGCCCTGGTCCATGTAAAGCTGCTCACCCCACCCTGTGGGCATTTTGATTGGGTTGCACTGAACTAACAGCAGGTGCATTTAACCAGAATGAACTAACTGGCTTTGGGGGACCCTCAGCCGTGCTCCCTGCACACCCATGAGGATGGTGGGTCTGCTTTCTCGTGGTGCATCTCCTATGGCCTTCAATACAGTCTAAGTTTTTTCCTTGCCAAGGTCTAATGTGCTTTTTAGGTTAGCTCCAAAATACCACATGATATTTGCTGTGAATGGCACTTTACTCTCTATTAAATTTTCCTGTGCTTTCAGCTAGAGGAGAAAACTGCCACTGTCCTCCGAGCTGCTCTGTCCTGGGCACCTGCTCGCGTGGGGCCTCTGCCCCTCCTCCCTCCCTCTGTGGCCCGTGGTCAGGGTCCGCAGAACCTGAGTTAACGGTTCTCAGCCTACTCCATCCTCCAGAGCGTTCCACACACTCTCGCCAGAAACGGCGACTCACGGCCCCAGGCCCTGCAGGAATTTAGTTCATTGAAGACCCAAAGCAGCAAACATGGCTACAAACAAAACGTCCCTAATCTCTGCTTCTAACAGCATTACCCTTGCTGACAGCACGGAGCGCTGACCACCCTATAACTTCCTTCAGGCAAAAGGGGGGCCAACGGCGGGCTTGTTCAGGCACGTCCCAGCCTAGCTTGGCTGTGGTCCTGAAGGAGCGACGCTTGCCCACCCCATCCTCCCGGGAGCTGCAGGAATCAGGGTCCGCACGGGCCGACCCTGAGTGTCCAGAGCAGGATGTGCTGAGCACAGAGCAAGCCCCCAGCCCCCTCCACTGGAGGCCAAGGTCAGGGGAGAGAGCGGCCGGCAGGGCTGTGGCCAGGGCTGGGAAGGTCGTGTGTGCTCTGAGCCCACCCAAGCTGGTCCTTGACCGTGAGGCGGGGCAGGCCAGGTTCACCCGGGGGGACAACTGCGGTCAACAGGAGGTCTGGGAGGTGGAGCCGGCCACCCCGGGCCTCGCCCACGCTCCCCGCCGGGCAGGAGCTGCACAGACACACGCTGCTCCAGGAGTGCTGAACGGGCCGGCTCGAAGCATCCCTCGGAGACGCAGCGCAGACGGGAGTGGGATCGAGTCCCGGGGGCTTCAGGAACCACCGCGTGACCCTCAGCTGCACCTATGACGTTGTTGCTATGGGAAAGCCCTCGGGAGCCCTGGCCATCGGGGGTCCCACTGAGGCTGCGCCCCAATGCCCACAGAGCCCCCTGGGGACCTGCCCAGGGCAAGGGTCCTGCATTAGAAACAGCATGAAAAGCCCACGCAGGTAAGTGACGGACAGTCCCTACGCACACCGCGGAGCCATCGTCACAGGGCGCCAAGGCCCGAGTCCAGCCGCCTGTCCACCGCCAGGAGCTGACTGATGGGCCATCACGGGGACAGTCAGCCTGGTGAGGAGTAACACGGAAGGGCCTGGGAGGCCCGGAGCTGTGACAAGCTTTCCCCCGGGCCTTCAGTCCGTGTCCTCAACCTTGCTGCTGCCGTGGGGCCTGCCCACGTGTGATTCAGTGGGCAAAAGAAGCTGGCCGTGAGGGGTGCCCTGGCCGGGATGGGCAGGGCGGTTGGGGACGGCACCCTCACCCCACGGACTGGGGGCCCTTGCTGTGGACAGACTCCCGGAAGGGGCCCGCCACTCCCAGAGCCAGGTCAGGAGTGAGCAGGGCGGTGCTGGTGCAGATGGGCCAGGCAAGGCCAGCGTGGGCCTGGGAGGGGGGCCCTGCCCAGGCCACTCCAAGGATGGCCCAGCGCTGCCTGCCGGGGCTGCCGATGATTAATGCTCGCTGCACACGCAGACTTATCTGAAAGCAAACGCTGCAAAGGGCGGGGACGCGGGACGAGCCGCCGGCCTGGCCCCGCATGGTGGGGAATGACGCCACAACGAATGGCCCTGCGATAAAGCTAACAATCGCCCACCTGTCCGCCCAGCCCCTCGGGCTCCTTCCCGCAGGATGCAGGATGTGGGCAAGCGGCCCCCTTGCCAGGGCGCTGCCGACAAGGCTTGGCCTGCATCTGAGCGGCGGGCAGGCGGGTGGTGTCACCAGGGCCCAAGGCCAGCGGCCAGGCCGGGAAGGCACAAAGGCCCACTGTGTCGGCCGCCTGACTCCGCAGGACCGGCCGCTGTGCGAGAGAGACGCAGGCTCAGGAGGACCCTGAGGGTGGAGGGGGCGGGGCCCCTGCACCTGGCCAGACAGGCCCAGTTCTCACCGAAGCGGGAGGCGGAGAATTGGGGGTGCTGGGGGAGACCCTCCTTTTTTTTTTTTTTTTTTTTTTTTTCCCTCTGGGTCTCTCTCGTCGGCAGAAGTAAGCCTAGTTTGCCCTCCAAAATCAGTTTCCCGTTCCCGCAAATTTCCAGGAGAGGCTGTATTGAATTGTTATTTCAAGTAAGATTCTTTTTTTTTTTTTTACCCTCCTGGGCTTCTCGCTCGGGGAGAACGTGAGTGTTCCCAAGTCACGGCCCTGCTGAGGGCAGACGGGCCTGCGCGGCCAGCGAATCGGCAGACCGTCCACCCGTGCGTGGCAGCCCCGGAGGCCGGCAGGAACTCAGTTTCCTAACACCTGAGACTCCTAGGAAAGAAAAGGAGGCGGAAGGAAGCTGCACCTGAACTGGGCAGTAACATTCACACTGCCGTGGGGAGGAGGGGCCCGTGGTCAGAGCCAGAGAGCTGACCCGGCTCTGTGGACACAGGTGGCCACAGCATCCCTGTGGGGTGACCCGCGGCTTCCCGAGTAACCGGTGCCCTGGCCTTTCGCCTCTCAGCACTTGCCCCACCCGGGGCTCTGTGACCAGCTGGACAAGCTTCCTGGCTCCCTTCCCAAGAACCAGGCCGGGCACACAGCAAGGAGCTCAGCCTTTTTGTCCAAATGTCACCATTTTATATTTATCGTTACAGACAGGAATCTATAGATGGTCCAAAGTTGAATTATGGCCCAAAAAGAAGTCTGAAAAGTGCCTCCGAATTTTTAATATAAAAATAAATGTATCCACTGAAGAGACAGAGCCTCCTCTGGCCAGAGCCGTGTGATACATTTTATCCCTGTGTTATATATATTTTTGTCTTTTTCGAAAGCTCTCGCTGGATCTTTTTCTGTAATTAATTTGCCCAGTAAAAACCTCTTTCCCACCATGGATCGTTTTTGTCCGTCCTTGGGAAGGTGTGACTTTTCTCTGGTGAGGTGTGTACTCTGACTGTGCGTCTGTCTACCTCCCTGAGGCACACGTGTCACTCAGAGCCACAAGCGCAGGGGGCGCAGCAGCCCTCCACCACCCCCC